TTTGGGTTTGGGATTTTGGGGCTTGGGTAGTTGGAAAGCTTTGGGTTTTGATAATTTAGTGGGCTCAATTGAAATGGGTTGGTGTTGGGTTTGTAAATTCATTTTGATGAACTTCACCCCTCTAACTTTTAATTTCTTCAATTGAGTCTCTTCTTTCTTCTTCTTGACTTTTCCAATTTCTTTTTGCATGTAGCACCTGAAACAAAATAAAGATATAGTAGCTTAGGAAAGGGAAATTTTCATATTTTTATATTTTTGATTTTTTTGTTTTTTGATAAAAATTTGAGTTATGACAGGCGGCAGTGTTGAAGAGCTTGAAGGCAAGCTCTAAGGTGCCCTTAATTCGTTTGTCGCTGACATGCATAAGGCCATGGACGAGTTTCGCGGGTCCATTGCAGTAGAGGTGAGCGCAATGAAGGCGGAGCTCAGTGAGGTCAAGGGGGACCTAGCCTTGTGCAAGGCCGCCATAGCCGCTGGCATTGCAGTTGGCGGTGCGCCCAGCGTGGCACCCAAGCTGAAGGTGCCTGAGCCGCCCAAATATGGAGGTAAGTGTGACTCTAAAGAACTCAATAATTTCTTATGGATGGTTGAAAGCTATTTAGATGCTATGAATATTTCCGATGATTTTACGAAAATTCGTATGGCAACCATGTATTTTGAGCATGATGCCACCCTATGGTGGAGACGCCGACATGCTGAGATGCAACGAGGCTTATGCAACATCAACACTTGGGAGGTGTTCAAAGGGGAGTTCCGTAAGCAATTCTACCCCGAGAATGTTGAAGAGGCAGCCATGAAGAAGCTTCGTGTGCTCAAACATACGGGGTTGATCAAGGACTACATCAAGGAGTACAACTCCTTAATGCTTAAGATCCCCGATATGACTGAGAAGAATTGGCTCTTCTACTTCATGGATGGACTACAGTGGTGGGTCGAGCAAGAACTGAAGCGCCGTGGCATTCAAGACCTTGCGATTGCCGAATCACTTATCGAGTTCAATAAGGAACCTCCTAAGAGAGGCAAAGACAAGAAGGGTGGCTCAAGCAAAGGTGGGGGAGACAAACCGCACAAGGCCTCCAAGCCTTTCAAGGGCCCAGAGAAGGCAAGTGTTGGCAGCAAGATGCAACCCAAGGTGAGGCAGGATTGCTACCTGTGTGGTGGGCCGCACTGGGCAAGGGAGTGCCTGCAGCGGAACAAGCTTAACGCCATCCCAAGCAGGGGAGACGCGGTTGGGAGCAATGCAAGTTCTCAACGCCATACGGGTTAACGTGTAGAGCGGGGGTGACGCCAAGGCCCGTGCCATGGCTGAACAGAAGGGTGTCGGCAAGACCCTCAAATATGTTACTGTCAAGATCAAAGGGGTAAGCGTCCGTGCTCTGTTAGATACTGGCGCTAACCAAAATTTGATTGTAGTAAGCCTTGCGGAGAAGCTGGGCCTGCCATACACCAAGGAACCAGGATGGGTGAAGGTGGTCAACAATCCTTCTCAGTCCATCTGTGGCGTTGCATGCAGAGAGTCCGTGCAGATAGGCTCATGGTCAAGGAAGGTTGACTTGAACGTCATAACCATGAACGACTTTAAGCTGGTGTTGGGTGGTGAGTTTATCGACCAACTATTGCCTTTCACCTTCACCAAAGATGGTTGCATACGCTTTGAGGACGGGAACGAGAGTCACAAGGTGCCCTTGGAGTGGCTACCCGCTGGAGACCACGTCCTTTCAGCTATACAAGTATCCAGAGGCATCAAACGAGGTGAGGACACTTATCTAACTGTTTTAAAGGAATATAGTACCTCGTCTCTTGATGTCCCACAGGAAGTTTAAGGCATTCGTCATGAGTTCGAAGATGTGATGCCCCCGGAGTTGCTAAAGAAACTTCCACCACGAAGGGAGGTCGACCATGCCATTGAGCTGGAGCTTGGTTCGAAACCGCCAGCAATGGGTCCATACCGCATGGCTCCACCTGAGTTGGAGGAACTCCGGAAGCAACTCAAAGAGCTACTAGATGCGGGGTTCATTCGTCCCTCCAAAACACCCTATAGAACGCTAGTGTTGTTCCAGAAGAAGCATGACGTGACCCTTCGCATGTGCATCAACTACCGGGCGCTCAACAAGATCACAATGAGGAACAAATACCCCATTCCTTTGATTGGCGACCTGTTTGACAAGCTTGGGAAGGCATGATGGTTCACCAAGCTCGACTTGAGGTCGAGGTATTGGCAAGTGAGAATAGCTGAAGGGGACGAGGCCAAGACCACCTGTGTGACGCGTTACGGTGCATACGAGTTCCTAATGATGCCTTTCGGTCTCACTAATGCTCCAGCCACTTTCTGCACCTTGATGACCAAAGTCGTCCACCCATTCCTTAACAAATTCGTGGTGGTATACCTGAACGACATTGTTGTCTACAACGAGACACTGGAGGAGCATGTGCAACATCTTCGACAAGTTTTCCAAGTATTGCGCGAGAATGAGCTCTATGTGAAACTGGAGAAATACTTATTTGCGCAACAGGATGTGATGTTCCTAGGCCATCGGGTAGGCCACGGGAAGATATTGATGGCCTCGGCCAAAGTGCATGCCATCCAAGAGTGGGAGCCTCCTAGCTCAGTCCCCGAGCTGCGATCATTCCTTGGCCTAATCAACTACTATCGTCCGTTCATCCAGGGGTATTCGGCAAGGGCCACACCCTTGACAGACTTGCTCAAGAAAAAGGTCTCGTGGAAGTGGACAGCGGAGTGTCAATGAGCCTTTGAGGACTTGAAGCAAGCAATGAGCCAAGAACCAGTGCTCGCATTGCCCGCCTATGGGAGGCCTTTCAAGATGCACACTGACGCGTTCGACTTGGCGATCGGAGGAGTCTTGATGCAAGACGGCCATCCCATAGCGTTTAAGAGCCACAAGCTCAATGACACGGAGAGGCGGTACCTGGTGCATGACAAGGAGATGACCGCCATTGTCCATTGCTTGCGAGTATGGCGTCATTACTTGCTTGGGAGCAGGTTCGTGATTAAGACTGATAATGTAGCTATGAACTACTTCCAAAGGCAGAAGAAGCTCATGCCTAAGCAAGCAAGATGGCAAGACTTCTTGGTCGAATTTGACTATGTGATAGAGTACAAGCCTGAGCAGGCTAATGTTGTGGCAGACGTGCTGAGCCGCAAGGTTACATTCACCTCCATCAATCGACCTGAGAGTGACATATTGGATCGTGTCAAGGAGGGCCTAGCACATGATCCCTTCGCCAAGAGTCTTATGGAGCTGGCTCGTGCAGGCAAGACGCGATGATTTTGGTGCAATGATGGTGTTCTATATACTGTGGGGAATCGCCTATATATCCCAAAGTGGGAGAATTTACGACAGGAGCTGATGAAGGAGTGCCAAGACTCGAGGTGGGCTGGACATCCAAGGATCAAGCACACCATGGCACTGGTGGAAGAATGATATTATTGGCCACGGATGCGGGATGATGTTGAGGCCTATGTAAAGATGTGCCTAGTGTGCCAGCAAGACAAAATCGAGCAGCGACAAGCAACACGCTTGTTTTTCAAGCATGTGGTGAAGTATTGGGGGCTTCCTCGCATCATCATTAGCGATCGGGATCCAAGGTTCACGGGGAAGCTTTGGAGGGAACTCTTCAAGCTCATGGGATCAGACCTCCACTTCTCTACGAGCTTTCATCCGTAGACGGATGGGCAAACGGAGCGGGTGAACGCACTACTGGAGCTATATTTGCGACATTTTGTGAGTGCCAATCAACATGACTGGGCAAAGTTGTTAGACGTGGCACAATTTTCCTACAATCTACAGCGGAGTGAGGCCACCCAACAAAGCCCTTTTGAGATCGTGATAGACCAACAACCGTTGCCACCTCACTATGTGACGCGAGGCTATACTGGTGCGAGTCTTGCTGCATGTAACTGGGCAAAAGATTGGCAGGAGTAGCTGGATGTGGCTAAAGTTTACTTGGATAAGGCCTCCAAAAAGATGAAGAAGTGGGCAGACAAAGAGCGAGAGCCGCTGGAATTCCGAGTGGGCAACCTTGTGATGGTGAAGCTACCAACCCAGTAGTTTAAAGCCTATCAACAAGTCCACAAGGGGCTAGTGCGTCAATACGAGGGACCTTATCCAATTCTTGGAAAGGTAGGAAAGGTGTCTTACCGTGTCGATCTTCCACCAAAGCTGAAGATACACCCAGTATTCCATGTGAGCATGCTCAAGCCATTCCACGGAGACCATGAGGATCCAGCACAAGGAGTGTCACAACGAGCCCCACCAGTGATAATATCCTTGTATGACAAATAAGTGAGTGAGATCTTAGCTGATCGGGTCATTCGGCAACGGGGAGTTCCCAACCACACAGAGTACTTGGTCAAGTGGAAGGATCAGCTCGATGACGAGGCCAACTAGGAACGCGAGGAAGACCTGTGGCAGTTCACGAGCGCCATTGAGGCCTACAAGACCAGGAAGCTTGACGAGGGCGTCAAGAGCTTTGGTGGGGGAGAGTGTCACGGACCGCGAGCTCAGACGCCCAAAAAAAGGGTCCCAATGCCAAGGTCGCGGTGCAACGTCGCGGACTCGACGGCCTGGCGCACTTGCGCCGAACGTTTTGATGGCACGGCCGCAAGCAAGTACGGTATTGACGCCCAAGCGCGAACTAGAATCGCGCGGAAGTTTCCAGAAGCAACCTGTGAGCAAGGATAAGGACCAAAACAGTAGTTTGAAATGGGCTTTATGGGCCTGGGCTGCATGTAGAAAATTCTAGAGCCTTGTACATAATTCTAGAGTAAGGAGAATTCTAGAATTAGGCTAAAATGGAGGATTTGACGGTGTTCTTGAAAGTGTAAAATATGAGGACTTTTTGGGAATGCTCTAGAACCTCTACCTGGGGTAGCTGGCCTCATCTATAAATAGGAGGAGCCTCAGAAAGCAGAGGGTGCTTAGCCAAGCATTTACCCAAGCTCTTGTAAATTTTCCTTGCATTTAATAAACTCTCATTTTCTCCCAACTTCCAACCTTTGCATTTTAAGCTTCACAAGCCTCTTAGTTCCATAAGAGGATTGTGCCCAGCTCCAAGGGAAGGCTAACTTGGTTTGGTTAAGGGGTGAAATCCAAGCTAAGTGCTGTACGGTGACTAGCTAGAGTCTCGTCCTGTGACAACACGTTTTAGATAACTTAGACAACTCTACTTGTATAATTGACTGATAAAAAAAAAAAAAAAAAACAAAACAAAAACAAAAACAAAGACTATACTTGTGCAATTCTGTAAAATTTACCCTTATTTGTCAACATCATGTAGATAGTGACCTTATTGGCCACTTGCCCTCAAATGATCATGAGGACGGTCCACATCCTCATTTGGTGCTTTTGCCTATTGAAAAGAAATTAAGATGTTGCAGCCCTGTACAAGAACATTTTGTATTTCAAAATTCCATTTCTTACTCATTTTCTACTTCTTTACTGTTTGGAATGGGGGTAAGATTTCATGTTTTGTTACCCTATCAAACTATACCATTTACAGTGTTAAATTCATTCATTCAAAATGACCGATAACATTTCTCTTCAACTATTTAACAATTTACGAGGCTGTGCCACACCTTGGTGATGCAACTATTTACCCTCTATCCTGTTTTGCATCCCTCAGCTCATTGGCAGCTTGCTATTCATCTACTTGAACTACTTCGGCTGCAGAATGACCGATAGCATTTCTCTTCAACTCAGCTTCTTGGTTAGATGAAGAGGGGATATCCCCAGAAAAGGAGGAAAGCAAACGTTTACTCTCACAGTAGTTGTGCCTGTCACTAGCATCATCTTCAGAATCTTCAACAACACAGTCAGCAAGATACTCACTCGAGGTTGAAGAAGAGTCAGGTTTATCAGTTCTCCCCAAATGGCTAGATCCCTCAAATTCTGGCCCCATCTCTGATATCACCTGAAAATCACTACTGGAGGTTCCGGAACAAGAGTCCTCCACATGCAACAAGTCTAGCTGATTCCATGATGGTTCCAATGCTTGGAAGTGTCTCCTAGTATATCTTGCTCGTGGAAGAGATGTTTGCAATCCAACAACTTGCTGACCATCT